AGGTCCTTACCGCTGAGATCTGATGGCCTTGTGCCGCAAAGCAAGTAGCGATGAGTGTCTTGACGAATCGTACTACGCCACTTATTGGTGAGCTGGGTAGTAAAACATGTCAGCAGATCCGTATGCCATAAAGGTGCAATTCCTTGCTCCGTGTATTGTCCAGTCTCCATAGTCTGCGTCGCATACTGATCTGCAAGCTCGTTAGCATGTATTCCACAATGTCCGTAACAAAACTGCAGGTGCACGGACCAGCCAGCACACGTCAGTGTTAAGAGACGCTGCCAGATCTGATCCTCCGTCCAGTCTGTCTGACTGAGCGGGCCCTTATTTAAAGCCGCAAGAAGAGACTGACTGTCTGTAACCACAAGCAGGGTTTTATGCCTGTGTTGGATACGAGGGATAATCAGCTTTTCTAGGGCTAGAAGCAGCGCACGGGATTCCGTCCTGTAGCTGCATGGGCGTGCACCGCAGTTTATACTGGCCTTTTCTATTATCTCCGATGAATTGAGGGATGAAAGCAGGATTCCAACCCCGGCTGACTTGGGAACGTCTACACCGCCATCCGTCGCGAGTATCCACGAACGATGGCTGTGCAGCGCTAGAGCCTCTTCGCTGACTCTGCGCTTTTCCCGTATCAGCTCTTCCTCGTCAGTTATTGAGGGGTCTATCGGAAGTTCCACGCCAATGGTGACCCGGTGTGCGGAGGCCGCAAACCAGGGAGGAATGGAGCTGCGAAAGAACCGCTCTTCGCGTGGTGAGCTCTGAGTGATGCCGTAGTCCTTTGTGTATGCGTCTACGAAGGCATATAGCTCGTCCCGAGATAATGGTGAGATGCGGAAACCTGCGCGGGGAGGTGGCTCAGGCGGAGGTCTCCGCATCCAGTCCATCTGGCATGCGCGTGTGTTCTCAAATATGGAGAGCCGCGCGCGCAGGCAAAGGACGTGGAGCGGCGGCATATTAGCCTCTAGGAGTGCGGATTCCGGGTCGACAGTGCTCGGAACTCCACTGACAATGCGTGCCAGGGTTGCATACGTCTTCTGCATCTCATTCTTCGCTGAATCCGTCGCTACTGCCCATATGAGCTCGCTGCCATAGCGTAATTTGGAAGCACCGTATCCAATGACGAACGTGCGTAGGTCATGTGGAGATGGTCCCGCCTCTTTATGTGCTATGCAGCGTAGCTGCGATATCCGTTGCGAAGTGGCAGCGCATTGCTTGGTAGCCGCCACATTTAGCGTCAGTCGCGGATCGAGATCCATGCCAAGAAGCTTCGTAGTTCGCGATGCCCCCATGGTCATGACTGGGATTTCACATCCAGCCACTACCAGGGGCCACTTTCCTTCACGATCATAATCTGACTCCGTGTGCGTGGAGAGCGTGAACCAAGCGGCTTCACACTTTGACGGGTTGATGGCCAGGCCATTTTCTTGACTCCACGCATGCAGTTTTTTAAGAACCATGTTGGCAGTGGGAATGGCGTCTTCCCGGGACTGCCCCTTAACGATAATAGAGAGGTCGTCCGCATACATGTCTGCTGTGACACCCGAAAAGCTGTTCAGCAGATTGAGAAGTGGGTGTACGTAAAGGGAGAACAAATATGGTCCCAGTACGGACCCCTGAGGAACTCCTCGCAGCATGGGACGCCGATCACTGTTTCTGTTACCAACTCGTGTCTTCGCGTAGCGACCACATAGAAAGTTTCTAAGCCACCTTCTACAATTCACCCCCGGAATATTAGCCAGCAAGCGACTGAGGACTCGATGATCTATGGAGTCAAAAGCCTTGCTGAAATCAACCACACCAGCAGTGTCCAATGGGGTCTGTAGTGGAGTTGATTACCAATACCGCTCTTCTTGGGAAGGTTCACTTGGAAATAATGATTTCTATTATGCTCCACTTCGTGTCTCAGGTGTGCCAGCTGCATCGTCGTAGTACGCATACTACGATATGCATACTGGTGGGGGTGAGGCGTCCACACCCAAAGCAATCTCTTCAGTACCATTTTCTCAGCAACCTTACTCACAATGGAAGTAAGGCTGATGGGTCGATATGACTCAAGCAGTTCCGGCGACTTACCGGGTTTTAAGAGTGGGACGATGGTAGCGCGTCTCCACTCAGCCGGGATCGTACCGGTCGTCCAGCTGTGGTTAATGCAACGAAGAAGAAATCGAAGACCCTTTGACGAAATATGTCGCAGTGCCTCACTGTAGACTTCATCCGGTCCGGGGGCCTTGCCATACGGCGTATTACGTAGCGCAGCAAGCAGTTCCGTACGATTAAAAGGTGCATCAAGAGGGGAGTGAGGATGAGCAACTAAACCAGATGTGGTGGCAGCTTCGTTGTTATCCTGTGGCTCTGAATTAGATGAGAATGAAAAAACTGAATTAGATGTAGCGGCAGACTCGTAGTTGTTCTGCGGCTCAGAAATACAAGAGATAAGAGAGGTAGAAGAAACTAAGCTAGATGTAGCGGCAGACTCGTAGTTGTTCTGCGGCTCAGAGCTAGAAGAAGTAGAAGAAAATGGAGTAAATGAGGCAGCAGACTCGTTTGTTGTCTGCTGCCCAAAAGAGAAGAG